ACAAGCCTAAGGCTTCCCACCACCACCATTCCATTCTCCAGTACTTTCCAAAGCTTACCAATGAGCCAGGCACCTACAATTGAGACACCAAGAAGTCTGCCTCTTTGTCTCCTCGTAACATTCACCCAGGGGAGCTTCCACTATTAAAAGGAGAGTCCAGCCCAACTAAGTGAGGTCAAGATTGAGTTGCTGTGAGGCCACCTCTGTGGTTTAGTCTGATTGTCAGGCTCCCAGGGCTTCCAAGAATAGAGGAGCCCCAAGAAGGAAGAAAAGGAGAGGGAGTCTGTGGGACACCAGGAAAAGTAGGGATCCTGTGGCTCACTGCTTCTGGGGAAGACCAGACCAGTCACTGACACCTGGAGTCACTGCACACATACTTGCCATGAATCCACTATCCAGTCCCTCCTTGGTCCAAGACCACCTGTTGAGCACTCTCTGTGGGAAGCAGAGCAGACCCAACCTCTGTTCCCACTGAGGAACACACTCTAGTGGGGAAAGCAAACGTCGACCATAAATATACGATTACAAATTCTGATGAGGTACTTAAGAGTGCTTTTGGTTTATCAATAATATAGAGGAAAAAAGGAGCATCCCCAGTACAAGGAAGAAAAGGAGGACATGGGGAGTTTGAGTCACTGCCAAAAGGACAGTGTAGCTGAGCCCACACAGGACTGAAAGGACTTCATAGCCGAGGCTGGCAAAGCATTTGGGTCAATCATGATGAGCTGGGCACATGAGAAGAATCTAGTTTTACCTTCAGAGCAGAGCGAAGGCACTTAAAGAGAGTGACACAGATTTCTGTTTTTAAAGTAGCCCTCTGGCTACATGATGAGGAAAAATTTGACATAGGGAAGGAGTGAGTGAGGCAAATGGACAGGCTGTCCCACCAGGGATGAATGTGGAGAGAGACACACCGGAGTATTTAAGATGTATTTAGATGAAGGGATGTGGGGGAATGAGAGGGCTTAGCAAAAATGATACCCAGGTTTGCTAGCTTGACTAACTGGGTGGATGGGGACACAAAATGAAGAGCCTGATGGGGAGTTAAGATGTTGGAATCTGAAGTGGGGTACTTGGACAAGGCTTTTTTCTTTTTTTCTGCTTCTCACGGCCAAGGGTACTTGGGGAATTGTTTTCACTACAGCAAGACAAGGCTGCTGGTGCAAGAAGAAAATGGGAGGTGCGTTCTTGATGTGAGAGTTTCCCCTGCTCATCCTCCCCTCCTGCCCAGAGCTGGCTCCAGACCAGAGCCGACAGAAGAGGCAACCTTGCTCCTGCCAGCTGTGATCTGGTTGTGTTGCCCTCCCCACAGGACAAACATGCTAAGGCCTCTTCTACAGGCCTCCTCTATTCTCTAAAATAGTAGTCATCCTTACCCTCCAGGGACCTAACTCCTTGCTCACCCAAAGCCATGTTCCCTGCAGTGTAGTCTCAAAGCCAGTGGTGTCCATCAGACACTGCTCATTTTTACCACTGACACCTCTGGAGTGGGGAGAACAGGGCTCCACTCCCTTGGGGCCCATTCCCAGGAGACCTCCTGCGAGCAGCCATGCAGTCACTGAGTCCACTTTTTGGACTGTCACACAAGACTGAATATATCCTCCATATGACAAAATTAGTCCCTGAGGCTCCTGGATGAGGAAGGTCCACCAGCACCCTTGAGATGGAGTGTGGGGGCCCTGGGGTCAGAAATTAGGCACTAAGACAGTCTCCCAGGGCCTTTCCGAGCATTTGGGACCCTCACAGCAGTAATTTCTTAACTTGTGTCTGATTCCTGTTTCATCATCTAGAAGAAGGAACTGTCAAAAATCTGACAGCCCTTTCCTCTCATCATAGTTACTTCCTCTTATATCAGGAGACAAGGCTTCACCTCTCACCACAGAGCACAGAGTTCCAGGCCTCTCCAGCACAACATTTCAGAGAAAGCAGGCCCCAGAGGCCACCATGATGCCCATCCCTGCCTCCCTGTGCTGCCTGCCCCTCCTTTCCATGCTGCTGCCTCTGCTACTGGGACCCACAGGTAAGCACCTAGCCTTCAGGTACCACTGCACCAGGATGCTCACTTGAGTTTGGTAGTGATATCATTTTCCCATTGGCAGTGGGGCAGATGGATCTCTGTTCCAGAACCTCTTTCTTTGCTGCCTCTTGCCCAAGACATTTCTCTAAATATTCTCTTCTACAAGGATCTCCCAAACAAATCCCCCAGAGTTCTTATTACTTACAGAGGTCCTTTCCTCTTCATTGCAGGTCCAGGCAGGCTTTTCTCAGTGACAGGGGTTAACCAATCCCTCCTAACTTCCCACAATCCTGACACCCTGTGATGTCTCCTGGACCCCTTGGGGTGAACTGCGGGACCTGGTGCCATCCTAATGGACAAGGCGGAGATGTGGTATCTGACTCTTCTGACCTGTTGGAGACCACAAAACCTAGGAGTCAGGGCTGCCTAAATTAAGGTGGATACAGTTTAGACAGACAAATAGGTATATGGCAAGTACTACATACAGAATGGAGAACTATTAAAAAGTTAGAAAAAATCAGTTCTTTGTAGACTATTAAGTCTCCCGGAATCTCAGCATCTCAGTATTATATTCTTGATGTGAGAGTTAATCCTGCCTGTCCACTCCCTTCTCTCCACAGCTGACCCCAGAGCCAGGCAGAAAGGTGAGGCACCCCTCCCTTCCCAGTGGTGTTAACATCTCAGTTGAGAGGTGATTTTCTAGGAAAGTGGTTAAAGGCATAAATGTATTTTGAAAACAATGTGCCAGGGTTCAAAACCAAGTTTTATCACTTATACCATGTTTGACTTTGGAAAAGTTATGAAACATCTCTGTGCCTCTGTTTTCTTATCCAGGAATATGGGTAAGTAACAATGCCTTACTTAATAGGATTGTGGCGAAAATTAAATGAAAATTAAATTTTTAAGAGTTTAGAGTGATGTGTGGCAAACAGAAGCTTCTGTGTAAGTTTTGGCTGTTAATTGCACGTATGAACATAAAGTGGTCCTGCTGATTCTGGCCATTACCGCATTCACTCTGTGTCCTTGACAAGCCTGTGCTTCATTTAAAACTCACAGCATGGTGAAAAAAAATATGAAAATGAATATAAGTATATTCATGGATGACTGAAGAATTGTGCTGTACACCAGAAATTGATGCAACATTGTAAACTGACTATAACTCAATTAAAAAAAAAAAAACCTCACAGCAGACACAGAAAAGAGAAATGATCCATCATGCTTCATAGAAGAGGAAGCAGGAACAGAGGAAGGGAGTGGCCTTCAAGAATCACCAGGCTTGTCAGCTGGGCCTCGAGCCCACATCAGCCTGGTGGTGCTCAGGCCAGGGCCCTCCCACTGGGGAGGCCCCTCAGACATTGTCCTGAGTGTATCTCAGAGGTTTTCAGATTCACTCTCACATAAAGTCACAAAAGAAGTCTTATTTTCCTACTAAATATGTTGCATAAAGAAGGAAATTGTGGCTCAGAGAGTAAGTAATTTTCTCAAGGCTAAACATCAAGCAACCACTTGAGGCATTTGAACCCAGGTCAGTGGAAGCCCACAAGCCCTCGCCTTAATCTCTTCACTGTGCTGCTTTCATCTATGTTGAATTTTTAAGAAAAACAGATTTGCACTAACTATGGTGTTCTGTTATCTTGCTCTTTTGCTTAATAATAAATCGGAGACCTCTCCCATGCTGATATATGTGTCTATGCCATCATCAATACATCCCCAATAGATACTTCCCCACTATTTTTAATAGCTAGATACTTTTCCATCACTTATTTAATGAACTCCCTATTCTTGGGCAGGTACCTCATATCAAACTTTTCAAAACTGTAAATATACTGTGATTGCCATTCCTTTACAAAATGTCTTCACCCTTGTCTGACTGTTTCACTGAATAAGTCCCTAGAAGAGAACTTGCTAGGTCAAAAGGTATGCATACATTTTGAAGGCTTTTGAAATATAGGATTTCCCAATAAAACATGGATGTCTCAATGTAAGTAAAACATTACCTCAATTCATTACAACACAGGAGAGCAGTGGATAGTGGACTTACTCAATATTTATGATCGGAACATATTTGGTTAAAGCCTTTCCCCTCTGCTTGTTAAACCACAGCTCGAGCAAGTGTATACATATCACAGGGTCACAACTATGATGCCATTAGTGGCACCTAGAAAGGTTCCATCATTCAGATTTCCACCAGCAGGACGTGGCCGTGTCTGCCCAGCTGTACTCTTGGCAACACTGAAAACTGGAAACCTCTTTCATTTTTTTGCCAAGATAATCTTCTAAAAGCTGTGTCTGTTCATAACTTACAGAAAGGAAACGTGCTTCATTTTATTTTACTTTCACAATACAGGCTTGACATGAAAAAACCCAACCAGGGAGGGAATGCATAAGTAAAGAATGAATGTCCGTTCCCATCCCACTCCCTGGAAGCAGCCAGTTTTTAAGGGTTGTGTTTGCTTTCTTCCAGATAGTTTTCTGCCACAGACAAAAATGTCACCTTCATCACGTGGTAATTCAGCATAGTACCTTGGTCCAATTCTAGGCTCTCTCTTCTGTTTCACTGACCTTCTATCTACTTTGGTAACTAGTCTCTATTATGTACCCTAAAATTGTGCTCTTACATTGAATCTGCTCAAATCTGACTTCATTTTTTTTTAACTTTCCCAAGTATTCTGCTGTGGACTTTAGCATTTGACTTACGATTAAGTGTACATTTCATCGTTTACTAGGAATTGTTGATTGTCTGTTCATAGATTTGTTTCTTCTGCCATGTCTTTTCTGCATGTGGCTTTTGCAAGGTATGGCTGTCTACCTGTCTTGTCTCCATGACACTCTCAGCACCCAGGTCAGCAGTCTGTCCATCCCAGATACATGGGCTGAAAAGAAAGAATTAATGAAATTTCAACTGCAGCCTGGACCTAGGCACCTGCTTGGCCCCAGCTGGGCCAGGGCAGGGGACTTGCAGCTAACTTGTGTTTCCTTCCAGGAGTGGCGGGTCAGGAGCTGCAGGTGATTCAGCCTAAGATGTCAGTGTTGGCTGCAGCGGGAGAGACGGCCACTCTGCCCTGTACCACGACCTCCCTGCTCCCTGTGGGGCCCATCAAGTGGTTCAGGGGCACAGGGCCAGGCCAGGAGTTAATCTACGACTACAAAGGAGGTCACTTCCCCAGAGTAACAAATGCTTCAGACACCACAAGGAGAGACAACATGGACTTTTCCATCCGCATCAGTCACATCACCCCGGCAGACGCCGGTGTCTACTACTGTGTGAAGTTCCAGAGAGGATTCCCTGGTGACGTGGAGTATAAGTCTGGACCAGGCACCCGGGTATTTGTGTCTGGTAAGTCCAGATCCCTGAAAATCCAGCCCTCTGTTCTAAGACACTCACAACCCCCAAGCCCTTAGCCCAAGACTCCCCTGCCACTAGCCATTGTGTCAAGCTTGAGGACAGAAGATGGCGACAGTGAGCAGTCACAGAGGAGGAGCAGAGTAAAATGTAGAACTGTGCAGCTTCCAAAAGCACATAAATAGACTGGAAATCAGAGTGAGTAAAATTACAGACTCCAGGGCCAAATGGCCTGGGTTCAACTTCTAACTCTGCTATTAACAAGCTCTGTGACTTTAGTGAGTTTCTTAAATTCTCTGTGTCTCAGTGTTCCCTTCCATAGGATAGGGGTAGAAGTGGTGCTCACCTAGTGGATTTACTGTGAGAATTGTAAATGTAAATGAATTTATAAATGTGAAATACTTTCAAGAGCGCCTGTAACATAAGAATTATTATATTAGTGTATATTATCAGCTTTCAGAATATTAAAACCGATCAGACTTTTAAAAAATCTTCAAAGCAAGGAACAATACATTTACAAAGGATGATACAATTATTTGGGGAGAAAATTATAAAATCACATTTTTTGATGTGGAATATCTAATCCTGATGCTTCCTAAATTTTGTCCTGGATTTCTGTAAGTCCTGTATATTCTTAGGTTTGGTCCTGGATGATATAATCGTGGCTGAAAACAAAGCCTGCAAGACTCTAAACAGCATCCATTTAAAAAAAGACAGAGTATTAATGAATTAATAATTATAGTGTTTTACCTATAAAATAATGAAGTGACAATTTAGTCTTAAAGAACCACAGAAACATACATAACAGAATTTTTGAATCTTTTAAATGTTAGCACCGGAGGACCATGGAGAAACAAAGAGAATGGTGGGCAGTCTTTTGGGCAAAGAGAAGGTCATATGATTTTCAAGATTTGAAAGTAGAAAGTAAGTTGTATGTGAACCACTGGAATGAGATCAGCATGAGATGCCCAAGGTAACACTGAAGATTGAGTATAAGGACTACTGCTTTCAAAATTCTTAGGGAACCTGATTTCCAACCTAAAATTCTACACCCAGACAGTTTGTTGAGTTTGTAAGATCACCAAGAACTACCTTTCATGCACCCTTTTTGCTTTACCAAAACAAGGGTTAAACAAGACATAAGAAAGGGAAGCACAAATAGGAGATTGGAGACCCCAAGATAACAGCTGTACAGGAGGGACAGGAATGGCTGCTGGGTCATTACAGATTAGGAGGACTGAGCACTTTAAGAGGGACATTTCAAAAAGACAAAATTGCTAGAATATTAAATAGCTTACAAATCGCTCACGCCCACCACTTCTAATATTATTTAACATCATGTTGAAGTATTAGTGTTTTTATGGAGGAGAAAGAAATAAAAAGCATAATAATTACAGAGGAAAATGATCTCCCCTTGTAGATGACATGGCATCTGGAAAACTTAATAGAGCAACATTAAGCTTTACAAACAATGAGATAATTTAGCACCATAGCAAGTTAAAAAATAACCAAACAGATCAATAATCTTTATATATATATCAAAAAAAAGATATAATGGAAAAGACAAGCACAAATACAATAGCAAATTTAAGTCAATTATATACTTAACTCAACTTCTACCAAAACAGAGATAGGGATTGGATTTCCTCACTCACTAAAGATCTATACAAACTATATGAAACAGTGGTTCACAAGACCCTGGAAGTCAGGCAACAAAGGACGGTGACCTCTAACAGATGAGAAACAAATGAGGTGAGACCCAAAACTGCCTCCAATTTACGGTCTCAGAAAGCTTCCAGGCCACCATGCAGAGAGAGAGAAATCAGAAGGAGCCTGGACAGCTCCCTGAGTTGATAAGAAGGAGTTAGAAGTCTAAGGAGGGCAAAGTGGTAGAGTCTTCAGAGCACCAAAGAGGCGAGAGAACTCCAAATATCTTCAGCATTCCACCGAGTACCAAAAGTGTATGTACATGAGAACCTACATGTATATGTGTGCATTACATGGCCTCAGGGGAAAAAAACCTCTGGAACTTACGCAAGGCTGAGAGTAGTGCTTGTTTTCAACAACCTATGGGAAAAAATCTCATAATTCATGTGGCAGCTGATAGCGTATACTGCCTCAGTAGAGGTTAAAAAAAACTCACCGTAGGATAAATGATGCTGTGGTCCTGCACCACAAATCTTAAATACAACACATGAGGAGATAAAATGTTCTTGAAGTCATTTGATCATGTCCCGAAAAAAGTCCAACAATCCCACTTTTAGAAATGTATACACTAACATAAGTGCAAGATGACTTATTTTTAGGCTCTTGATTACACCACTATCTGCAAGAACAAAAGATGAGCTGGTAAATAAACCGTGGTGCAGTCACACAATGGGGTACTATGCTACTATAAAAGGGAATGAGAAAAACCCAGCACACTGCTTCAGAGAGACCACAGGATATCATTAAACAAGAAAAGCAAGGTGTAGAACAGAGTAGGGAGCACACCACTTTTTATGATAAGAGTAGGAAATACAAGCATATACATATCTGCTTCTAAAAAATGAGTAATAGGGGAGGGTGTAGCTCAGTGGTAGAGTCCCTGCTTAGCATGCATGAGGTCCTGGGTTCAATCCTCAGTGCCTCCATTAAATAAATAAATAAACCTAATTACCTCCTCCCTAAAAATAATAAAAAAAGAGTAATATATCAAAATATACTTTTATAATTTTACTATAGTCGATGGAGGGAACAAGAACCTGGAAACAATGACAACCCAGTAGTAATGATGACTGCTATACACAGATATGGTCTCCAGGCTACACTTTCACTAAGAGAGAACCAGCGGTCCTCAGGGAAATGACTGATTTCAGACCTTGAACAGGGAAATGTGTAAAATGAGCTTGGAATATTTTGTTGTACTAGAAGCAAGGAAGCTTCTCACGTCTCCTGAAGTTGTATAAAAAGACTCAGTAACTAAAGTAAAGGAGGCTTTCAAAGATGTGACAATTTGAGCATTAAAAAGGATAAAGATTACACTATACTGACATTCATCAAATATGTTAAAGAAACGTCATTGGTCACTTTGGAGATTACTAAGGCACCAACTTGTTACCATGAAATCCCAAAGATAGTAAGCAAAGACGTTTATCCTGCCTTTCCTGTAAGAACTGTATGTCAGAGTAACCAAGAAGAGTTGAAAAAGCCAGTTCCAAAATAAAATGGTGTAGAATTGATTGTGGTGCTAGTTACATATCTCTGTGAATATAGAAATTGCTAAATTGTACACCTGAAGTGGGTGAATTATATGGTACATATGTGAATTATATCTAAATAAAACTGCTTTTTAAAAAAGAAAAAAAAGTTGATGAGAGAAAGAATAATTCCAACTAATAAAGGCAGAAGGAATGGTAGCATTAGACTATCACCAGTGTGCAATCCCTAAGGAAGTGATGGATCTAGATAATAATTGTCTACAGCTGTTAAAGACACTGGTCTAAGGGCTAGTGGAGAACTTTAGGTGGATTGAGATGACAGTGTCCAAAGCCACTAGTCAATCTAGTGGCACGAAAAGAAAGACAGTCAAATATCACATGCCTTCTCATGTAATGTAGTAAGAAGCTGTCAGAATCATGAAGTATTCTTACCAAAATTATGAACCTGATCCTAATCAACTAGACCCTCTAGTTCCATCTACAGTCAATACAGGGGAGATAGGATCATTTTAAATGATACCAAAGGCATATGAGCTAAGATGAGGGAAATTCTGCAGATTTTTCCTGCAGACCAAGTTTTTTTTTAGCAAACAGTTGTTAAAAGTAAGAGGGAAGGGGAAATCCTTTAGATCAAAAGAGAACTAAAAGAAATAACAACAAAATGTAACCAATGGATCTTTTTTGCATCCTGACTCAAACAAACCATTTAAAAAATGGTATCTGGGAGACAAGCAGGAGATTTTAAATGCTGACAAATATTAGATGATATTAAGGAATTATTCAATTTTAAGTGTGATAATGGTATTATGATTATGTTTAAAAAAGAATTCTTAAATCTTAGCTATACACCCTGAGGTAATTGTGATGATACTCTATATAGAAAACCCTAGAGTCTCCACCCCAAAACTATTAGAACTAATAAATGAGTTCACCAAGGCGGTAGGATGCAAGATTAATATACAGAAATCTATTGCATTTCTATACACTAATAATGAAATATACAGAAGAGAAAGTTTTTAAAATT